CTTTGCAAAGGGAGGCTGCACAAAGTATTAAAAGAATAAGTGCCAACAATTGTGCCAGACATAGATTTGGAAAAAGAAAAATCATTGTAAATTCAGGTCCCCGACACACCAATCACAGCACTTTAAACAAAGGCCATATTTTTGTTATTATTTTGAATGAAAGATCAAAAAGATAAGCAATAAAGAAAGTTATTTTACACCCAGCTATGCTCACGTTTACCGGGGTGCCAAAGTTTTGTAGGAAACTGTATGTATGTACACACACACACACACACACACACACACACACACAACCACTTCTGTCTGAGTTGTTATTTACATCCAAGTACAGATTCCCCTCATTAAACTTATTAAATTCCCGCAGACTAGCGTAAAAGGCTAATTTGCTTAATTATTTACTTGCTACAGCAGGTTTCTTCAGTACTATTTATTCCTATATGAATTACTTTTAGCTTAAGTACTTTTAAATGAATCAAACACAACTTGTGCAACAAGCATGTTTTCAAGTAGAGATGATTACATTTCCCTGGAGTAGCCCAACAGGTCACATTCCTTATACAACATCTTACTTATACTATCCTTATCTAAATACTATTACTCCTGTGTCAGCATTGAGGTGCACTCACTGCTGACGCAGGAGCTCAAATGCACAAACAGCTTGTATAGCCTCCATATGAAAGCACTGACAATAGAACAGGATGTTCTGAAGCAGCCACACATAAGCCAAATCAAGCAAGAATCAATCATCCAACATCAATACTTTGTCATGCAATCAAATCCTCACAGCAACGTTGCAACATTTAGTGCAAAGCCTTCCCCCGAAGAGCGAAAACAGTTGCCGCAGCAGAGCGGACAAACTCCTTTTTAATACTGTTGTTTTTGGAAGGGACATTAGACGAGCAGGTGTCCACAAACTTTTGGCCATACAGTGTCAATGAGCATAAATTGTTTATACAACAGTAACTAATAGCTACTCAGTACTATTTCATATAGTACAGTAAATTCCTCTGGAGCAGGCTAACAGAAACATGTCCACGATGCTCACAGGCTACTGGTTATGCATCTTGTCAAATCTGTCTAAAGAAAAAAGAAGACATATCTAAAAGAAGACATATTTACTCACCATCAGTTCTGCCTCAGTGGTCCTTTTAAAGGGGAACTCCACCAGTTTTTCGAAAATTCTACATGACTAAATTGTTGAGATGCACACAAAGTCATTTGTGTGGTTTGGTGTGAAAAACATTGTTTTAGAGAAACTTAGAGTCAGAAATGTTCACAGTGGTGGTGATAAGAACCAGACATCCACCTCTAACAGCTCCCTCACAGAAAATTATTACACCTAACGGTTATAAATATGCTGCCTGATGTCTAACATTTTTAGATTTATGCCTATTCTACCATGTTCAGCACCATATATAAAAAGAAGAAGACCCTTGTAGGTTCACTCGTGGTTTTGGATAGCAAATAAAATGGCTATATTAGTGTTTTAGACATCGCGACCCCTGGTTCCCATCACCACCACTGTAAAGAAATCAAGAGTCTGAGAGTTTCTCCACAATGAACCACTACACATCAAACCACCACGTGACTCTGTTTACATTTCAAGGACGAAAATTATTCAGAAATTTTGGAAAAAAATGTTGGATTTCCGCTTTAACACTACTGACTAAGTTGTGTTTGTACAGAAAGGAACCACAGCGGTCTTGTTTACACTCGCCGACATTATCTTACAGCAGCGACCACAGTCAGGAATAAGGCGCCTTTTTTCAAACAGGCTCTTATCTGCTGGACTAATATCCCTACAGCCGTTTAGCTGGGATATAAACAACTGACCAGCTGTGAAACACAGAGAAAAACTAAATTACTGTAATCACGACTACAACGACGGTCTCTGTCTAAACAGCTAGCGGGAAAAGTTTCCTAGCTAACTCAGCTAACGCTCCCATTCGTTTTGCCTGGGCTAACCGAGTTAGCCGTTAGCTCTTAAGTAGCTAACATTACAAAACGAGCCGAGTTGTCTAGTTTAAATATATGGAAGCTTCTGTTGTCATTTTTATTCATATTTTTCAGTTCGGTCCTAAAAAACAGAGTTAAGACCTTTAATATCAGCCCTCAGGTCGAGCTATGTAGCTAATGTTATTGATACTGATACCAAGTCAACGCTACTGATTAACAAACTGAACGTCTTACGTTTCAGAAGTTAACAATTTCTGTACTAAATCAGCTTCTATTTCTAAAATCAGCTTCTGTTTCTAAAAACTCTCAGCCCGTCAATAAGCTATTTGGGTTCCTGTATTAAGTTAATCCAGAGAGAAGGAAGCGGGCAGTGTTTACACATGTAACCTAGCTAACTTTACATTGTTATGGACTTATCAAGTCATCCCTTACACTAAGTATAACGTTATTAGAAAAAAGGGGAATAATATAGTTAAATATCTCATCAATGGGATCAGAACCTGTCAACTTAACGTTTTTCCTCGGCACTTTAGGGAGGTTTTTTTTAAAAAAAAACATGGTGAAATAGCGATCATTTAGAATTGCTGCAACACAAAAAAAACCACAAAACGTCCAGAACAGCTTAAACTGATTACTAATAGTGACCAAATCTGTCAGAAATGCAAAGTTACTGAAAGTTAGCCAGCGCTGCTAGCCAGCCAGTCGGTAACAGGAACGAAGCTGAAGCTTCTTGCTGGAATTCTCCCGTTCCACCTTAAATGGTGCAGCAGTTTCACTCTGGCGCCTCAGATTCGAACAAGCTGGCAAATCAGAAGCTGACTTTAGCCTCGTAAACCAGCAGCCGTTACCGTGTAAACAGCAACCTAGCTAGGAAAAGTTTTCCAAAATCCTAAAAACACTATTACGCCCGACTGTGGCTTAACTTAAGCGGGAAACTCACGTTGGCCGGGCTGTTCTCGGCGCTGCTGCAGCTGTCATCCAGGCCCCGTCTCAACCGCGCTGACTTTCGCTGCGGCCGCCGCAGGGAGAGAAACTCGGAGCTGGAGTCCATATCAGAAGGCGCCCTCTTCGGCGCGGCCGCCTCGGCGGCTCCGCTGCTGCTTCGAAGCATCACCATGGCGTCGCTTACAACCTAAGGCAGCTCATTTACGGAGAAATTCGACTTTATTCGGCTTCCAAACGCATCCCAAAGACCGCCGAGCGCGGAATAAAAACCCTTGTCAGAAGCAGCCCGCTTTCCCACCTTGATTTCTGGCGCCATAAACGTCACCGTAGGTCCAATCACGACCGTGAGCGCGGTTGAGGCCGACGAGACGAAAACTAGAACCGCTCGACGAGCGGGCTGGCACGAATTTGCTGTGCGCTTTATGGTTAATGAAGCCTGACGCGTAGCAAAAAACGACAAACTAAATGCATATAGGAAATATGGAGCTTTGTGAATGATGAAAAACGGTCACATCGCCCCACATATGTTTTTGAACGCTGGCGTAGGAATCTGCTTTGAAAGAGGTGCCGGTAAAAATTTTGGCGCGCCCTGGTGAACGCTGCGTTCAAGGCTCTAATTGGCTTATGCAGACCAAACCCACTCTGATAGAGGAATAACACTGGCAGTGTTATTAAAAATAATATTTTTCATATAAGTGCTTAAGTGAAGCTTGTACCTTACCTTTATCATGCGAAACAGCATTTCCCTCACTTTTATTAAGCATTTGATGTGGCGTGCAAACACCATTTAAGTTCCCTCCCCAGTCCACAAGCCAACATATGGTTACTAAACAGAAAAGCAGCCAGATTTAAAGGGGAACTCCACCTCTTGTTCCACATTATTTAATGTTTAAGATGTAAACAAAGTCATTCAGAGTGGTTTGGCGCGAGATGCTCTGTTCTGGAGAAACTTGCAGAGTGAGAACAGTTCACAGTGGGGGTGATAGGAACCAGACATCTAAAGAGTTTAATACCTCAAAAAGCTTCCTCACAGAAAGTTATTAAACACTGTGCCTGATGTCCGACACATAGTCTTATGACGGTTTTGTGGTAAAGTGTTGGCCTAAAATGTCTTGTTAATCTAGTCCCCAAAGAAAACTTAGTTTTTTTAGATTTTTCATTTTCATCAACATCCATCACCACCACTGTAAAGAAATCTGAGTGTGTAAGTTTCTCTACAATGAACCATTTCATATCAAACCACTTGGAATGATTTTGTTTACATTGCAACGACAAAATTATGCAAACATTTTGAAAGATTCCTCTTTAAAGTAACTGTTTTTGTGATGTCACAAAAAAGCACACTTACGTAAATCCACCTATAGAGTGTACAGCAGGTCAGCTTGTCCAAAGTTTCAGTCTGGGCTACCTTTTGAGGCGCAATACATGGCAGTCAATCACAACAGAGGTCATTTACATATCGCTGCTGTCGGAACAAAACCTTGTATCTTCATTTATGTTGTTTTTTAGTTTTTGACATAATTCGAAAATGTCTGTTGTCCTTTACATTGTATGTAAATTTCATGAAGAATGGACCAAAAGAAACAACCCACAGTGACTTGGAAAAAGGTCTGGTTCCATTGATTTACATTAAAAGTATGTTTTTTCCTTCTCCTGTAAAGTTACCATTTTGGAGATATGAGGTTTTCTTCCAACAACAGTGATATATGACTTTTAAAGGGGAATTCCACCCTTTTTAACATTTCTGCATAAACAAGAGTCATTCTTTGTCAGAGGTGGTGATAGGAGCCAGACCTCTGAAGAGTTTAATGCCTCCAGAATATACCTCACAGAAAATTATTACATGAAATGGTTATGAATATGCTGCCTGATGCCTTATGACAGTTTTTAGAAAAAGGTTTTGCCTTTAAACTACTTTTAAAAAATTAATCACAGTGGAGGGGTACATGCAGGGTGCTGTAAGGCAAAACAGTTCCTAAAGAAAACTTAATTTTTTCTTAAAAAATTGTCAGAATTAACCTTATTTGGGTAAACAAAACCACAGAAATGTTGTAAGTGGACCACAGCAGGCATAGAAAAAATACAAGAAAATTGTATGATTTGTGCTCTTCAATCGATGTATTTGTTTTTAGAGGAGCGTAAGGCAAGTCATGGACAACACATACTTGCTCTTACTATTAGTTTATTTTGCCATCAGGTAAAAAAAAAATACAGATTATAAATCTACCGTTCACTGCAGTGCGTTCTTCAAACCCCCACAAACGATTAACCAGTGTTTCAACAAAGTATTAAGCGATAGCAGCAAGGTAGTCTTTCACTTCTGCAGGAGTCAGTCGTCTGAAGCCCGCCTCATTGCAGATTCCCACCTCAATGTTGTCCTCCGTCATCTGACCTTCAAAGCTTTCCTGAAACACATTCAAGTCAACGAGTCAATGTGAACGGTCAGCATTTCATTGTTGTTATTTGAGCAAGATGAATATAAGTCATGCTAAAGCTCTTAAAGCACATTAATGACATAATTATATGGCCAAAAGTATGTGGACACCTGACAAATACACCTACATGAGTTTGTTGGACATCCCATTCCAAAACCATAGACGTTCATTTGGACATTCCAATTCATCCCAAAGGTGTCCAGTGGGGTAGAGGTCAGGGCTCTGTGCAGGCCACTCTGTGCAACCCGAACCCTAAAAAACAGCCTTTTGCCACTATTGCACAGTTCTTGTGATGATGTTACTTCCAGAGGCAGTTTGGTGAGTGATGCAACAGAGGATAAGTGATTTTTTTCAGCACTCTGGGAGTCTGGTGGTCTAACGCCTTGTGGCTCAGCTGTTCTTGATTCCATTTTTACAATAACAACATTTTTACAATAACAACGTTTTACAATAACAACGTTTTACAATAACAACATGTCTGTGTGTGCGCGTGTTCCGCTGTAATTCGCTGGCGCAATATGGCTGCCATATATGCTTTACATCGGTTTTCCGTTAGTTATGTATTGTTTGTGTGTTTGTTTTGATGTTTGCCTGAGAAGTTTGCCATCATATCCACCGAGATAGCGGCCCAGAGTGACTCTCCAGCTGTGGCTCAGAGGCTTATTGGACTGGCTGTTTGGGTGACAGTACATATTAGCTATTATGCAGCCTGGACCGGCCGCTTCAGCGATGCTGCATCGCGGCTACGGGCCTCTCTGGACTGGGGACCTGATAGACGTGACATTGCAGCCCTGACTGGCTGCTTGGTTGATGCTGCACTGCAGCTGTGGGGACCTGCCTGGACTGGTGGTGTTCGGCTGCGGGAAAATGCTACCCCTTTGTGGCGAAGGACATCTTTGGCCTTCAAGGCTTCCCGGGCCGGCCTCCTGTGTGACGCGCCGCCCCTAAGGACTCTCTCCGGGCTAGCTAAGTGACTAAGTGACTGTGGTCAGTGAAATTCCCTCCGCTAGCTGTGTATGTGTGTTCTGCGTTATGTATTGTTGAGTATGTATTGATTGTAAAGCATCCTTGAGCAGGGGATAGGCGGTATATAAATAAAAGTGATGATGAACATGTACAGTTGACCAGTGTAGATCTAGCAGGGCAGAAATTTCACAAATTAACTTGTGGCATCCTATGATGGTGCCACATTTAAAGTCACTGGGCTCTTCAGTACGACCCATTCTACTGCCAGTGTTTATCTATGGAGACTGCATGGCTATAGATGTCCACATGCTTTTGTCCATACAGTGTCTTGTGGCCAGATACAATCTAGACAGCGACCATTTAAGCCTCTGCAGGTCATTCTAATAAAATGCTGCTTTACCTTGAGGGTCAAAATAGCTGTGTGAATGGCATCTTCCAGTTCAAGATCCTCATTGTATCTGAAACACAACACAGTCATGGGTGAGGCGGTGGTTCATTTAAAAAGGTTATCATTTGAATTGAGCTAAAAGGGTTTAATTTGCTGCAATATCAAGTTTTAATACCTTTTTTCAAGGAAGGTTTTCCCATTCACATAGTTCTTTCCCATCGCTGTGGCTTTCCATGCAAAGTACGCACCCTTTGAAAGAGAACAAACACATCCTTCTCAAGTGGTCTTCTACTTACTGAATGCAGATTCAAGATACTTTGTGATTGTACAGGGTACGAAATTGGGTAGCAATCCTAACAGTGCATAAGATAACAAAAATAAGATTAAACTAGGAACAAAACAAAAATATAGGCTAATATAAAATACAGAATGCAAGATATTAATGAAAAGACTATAGTATAAAAACATAAAAATAGAAAAAATGAAATTATAAAATAATTTAAAATAAAATGGGGCATTCCAGCCAAAAAAAAAGAAAAAAGAAAAACACAAAATATAAAAAATTGCCAGAACTTTTGCACAGGCCATGCATTTTAATTTGTTCAATACAGCAAATAAACAGTAACTGTACATTAAAATGTGCAGACGTGTGTTCTCTGTAGAAGATGTTAACTTATTTCTACTTAGAAAATCCATAAACATTTAATTTGACAAGAGGCAAATATTAATAAATATTATATGCTGTAATATGCCTGTAATATGCCTACAGTGGTTCAGTAACACTTTTTAATCCTCTAGTCTTTCAGAAGTGAAAAAATACCCTGCTGCTATCGCTTTTATTAAATCACATTTTAGACATAAAAATAAACTGAAAATTTGTTAAAGATACAAATAAGTTATGGAGCCCAAAACTTTCAACACAACCATTTACGTACAGTGTCTTTAAGAGCTTTGAGGCTTTAGCATTAGCTAGAAAACAGATGCTAAATAAGCCCAGTTAGTTGCAGTAGCCTTAACCAATAGTGGATAGAGCAATCAAGTTAAAGCAACACACCATGAATTCAGCCACAATTACAAAGCATGTAAAATTTATTAGAATAGAATGGACCTCAAAGAGAAATACATACCGAGGGATCGGACTGGAAGAGGTATGGGCGGTCTTCATCCCAGCCAGCGATTAAGAGTGATACACCAAATGGACGAACACCTCTACAAAATAGAGGAAATAATTTTTTAATCTTTTTTTTATTATTATTATTTTAATAAAATTCAACAAAGAAGTTCACAATACTAAGAGTCGGGATCACAGCTCTGATATTATCTGGCCACAAGATATACACTATATGGCCAAAAGTATGTGGACATCTATAGCCATGCAATCTCCAGAGATAAACACTGGCAGTAGAATGGGTCAATCTGAAGAGCTCAGTGACTTTAAACATGGCAACTGTCATAGGATGACACCTTTGCCCTAAATCAGTTTGTGACATTTTGGCTCTGCTAGGGCTACCCCGGTCAACTGCAAGTGCTATTAGTGTGAAATGAAAGCGTCTATGAGCAGCAACAGCTCAGTCACGAAGCTTTACACCATGTAAACCCACAGACTGGAGCCGCTGTTCCATCACTTGCTACAGAATTCCAAACTGCCTCCGGAAGCAACATCAGCACAATAACTGTGCATCAGGAACTTCATGAAATGGGCGTCTGTGGCTGAGCAACTGCACACAAGCCTAAGATCACTGTGCGCAATGCCGAGCTTCAGCTGGAGTGGAGTACAGCACGCCGCCACTTGAGCAGTGGTAACGTCTTCTGGAGTGACTGATCACATTTCTCTATCTGGCAGGCTGATAGATGAATCTGGGTTTGGAGGATACAAGGAGAACACTACTTACTGGAATGCACAGCGCCAACAGTAAAGTTTGGTGGAGGAGGGATAATGAGCTGGGGCTGTTTTTCAGGGTTTGGGCTCAGCCCCTTTGGTTCCAGTGAGATGCAGTGAAAGGTACTGTTAGGGCTACAGCATACAAAGACATTTTTGTGGCAACAGATTGGGGAAGGCATACTTTGCTGATTACTTCGTTGCCCGACTCATGGGCACCGGTGGCAGCCAAGAGAAAGGGCGGGAAGGCAGTGCCCAAGCCTGACGTGCCAATGAACCCCACGAGTGACAGCAGGAGGAGAATGTCAGCTGTGAGAAAAAGGAAGAACAACCACAGCCACAAGAGCATTGAGGATGGCGCTGAAGTCCCGGTCCCCATCTCCTGTTCCACAGCAAGGCTGCTAGACTATGCCTCAAGTTGACAAATTTAGTGTGGAGGAACTCCAGTGGGAGTTCTCTCTGCAGAGCCTCAACCCAGGCGAACACCTTTGGGATAAACTGGAACGTCAACTGCGAGCCAGGCCTTCACTTCCAACATCAGAGCTTGAGCTCACAAATGCTCTTTTGACTGAATGGGCACAAATTCCTACAGACACACTCCAAAATCTTGTGGAAAGCCCTTCCAGAATTGTGGAGGCTGTTATAGCCGCAAAGGGGGCCAGCTCCATATTAATGCCCATGGTTTAGGAATGGAATGTCCAGCAAGATAATACAGGTCGGGTGTCCACATACTTTTGGCCATGTAGTGTACGTCTGGAACATAGGCTCTATATCACACGGTGCACGCTAACATTCGTACAGTTTGTAAACCCAATAATAATCTGAGACAGGAATATTAAGGCGGAGATATCAAACCTACCCTGACTGTGTGTACTCCTGCATGACTGAAGCAACCCTCTGAACAAGCTGGCCTGTAGGAATAGGCTCTTGGTAGACCAGAAAGTACTGCTGGGCAAGCTTTCGTGCTCTCCTCACCAAAACCCTGTGGACAAAATAAAGGCCTTTAAATGCAGATATTATAGCTGAATTGTTTCAGCTTAACAAACTTTGTATAGGTTCTTCGGCTATAGCCCTAGAACCTATACCCATACAGAAATACAATGTACTGAAAATACAGCACATACATTTATCAACAATGTATAGTAAAATATGTTTATATGCAAATTTCCTCATTGCTCTGTATAAAGGCGATCCATACCTGTAGTCTGGGCCCATACCACTGTACACCATGCCAATGTGTTTGGTAATGGGCTCTACTTTGTGGACACTCTGTTCATCGTACAGTATAGATTTCTGCTTCTTTTCTGTTGCCAACACAACACCGTTGGCAGCTGCGAATGAAAAAGAGTTAATTAACATGCAAATTCTGGTCCTGCACAAACATAAACCACAGAGAGAAAAGAAACAGAAAAAGAGTATTACGCTAAGCTGACCAAACATATCGCTGCTGTCAGAACAAAACCTTGTATCTCCATTTTTGACGTTTTTCAGTTTTTGACAATCTGAAAATGCATGTTGACCTTTACATTGTGTGAAAATTTCATGATGAATGGACTAAAAGAAACGACCCCAAATGACTTAGGAAATATTCTGGTTCCATTGACTTACATTAAAAGAAAAGTACATTTTGGAGGTACAAGGTTTTGCTCCAACAGCAGCGATATACTCTATAAACTCTGACACAGATGAGTACAGAGCACTGAAGCGATGAAATGTACCTTTAATGCCAACTGAGGGAGCACCTGCTGCGACAGCGGCCAGAGCATATTCAATCTGGACCAACTTCCCCGAAGGGCTGCAAATAGTAAAAAACTTGATTTAGCGCCACAAAGCACTTTAAACAGTACAACAGTAACAGTACACGTATACATAAACACAGTAAGACCTGCTCTAAATGCTTCTGTTTGGACACTTGTTTTTGTTTTGATTTTGTCCAAAAATGTATTTTAACAACAATACATAGTACATTATATCAGTAGCACAAGGGCAGTTTCAACTGCTTTAGGGAAAATAATCATATTAATGATATACCCATTTTAATACCTTATCAATTAAAAATAAAAAATGAGAAGGTGTGTGAAAACTGTACTGGTTGTGATTTTTGGGGGTTTATTTTGTGAGAGGACTGGTGCCCCAGGCACTGAGTAAGTTTGAGAATGTTTATATAATGTTAACTAAGTAGAATTAATCTGAATTAATCAGAATTAATCTGAATTGCTACCAGGCCCACTATGTATGTATGGGTGTGTGTGTGTGTGTGTGTGTGTATATATATATACACTCAAATACATACACCGATCAGCCATAACATTTTATCAGCTCCACTTACTATATAGGTGCACTTTGTAGTTCTACAGTTACAGGCTGTAGTCCATCTGTTTCTCTGCATACTTTGTTAGCCCCCTTTTACCCTGTTCTTCAGTGGTCAGGGCCCCCATGGACCCTCACAGAGTAGGTACTATTTGGGTGGTGGATTCTTAGCACTGCAGTAACACTGACGTGGTGGTGGTGTGTTAGTTTGTGTTGCGCTGGTCTGAGTGGATCAGACACAGCAGTGCTGCTGGAGTTTTTAAACACCTCAGTGTCACTGCTGGACTGAGAATAGTCCACCAACCAAAAATAGCATCCTGTGGGTAGTAACCACTGATGAAGGACTAGAGGATGACCAACACAAACTGTGCAGCAGCAGATGAGCTATCGTCTCTGACTGTACATCTACAAGGTGGACTGACAAGGTAGGAGTGTCTAATAGAGTGGACAGTGAGTGGACACAGTGTTTAAAAACTCCAGCAGCACTGCTGTGTCTGATCCGCTCGTATCAGCACAACACACACTAACACACCACCACCACGTCAGTGTTATTACAGTGCTGAGAATGATCCACCACCCAAATAATACCTGCTCTATGGTGGTTCATGGGGGTCCTGACCACTGAAGAACAGGGTAAAAGGGGGCTAACAAAGTATCAGAGAAACAGATGGACTACAGTCTGTAACTGTAGAACTACAAAGTGCACCTATATAGTAAGTGGAGCTGATAAAATGGACAGTGAGTGTAGAAATAAGGAGGCTGATCAGTGTGTATCTTAAGGTCTGTAGAGTCAAGGCACATAAATATTAAAAATATGACATCAGACTCAAAAAACAGAGACTGAATCTGAAAACGAGCACCTCTAATATCGCTATACTGAAAGTGAAAGTCAGTTCGCTCAGTAAAGTTAAAGCATCGCCTCAAACGTACTTTGAAGACGGCAAGGCTTAAATTCGCCGGTACCTAACACAACCTTTTCTATTAGAAGATATTAAGCCCAGCAGAGCTTTATAAAGACATTTATTCAGTCCTTTTCGGCTGTTTAACCAACTCAACAAAGCCGAGCAGGAGCAGTTCGCTAGCTTAGCTTAGCTAGTGGAGTGACTCTGCATCAACAGCAGACAGTTCAGTGCTGTGCGCTCCTTAATTACGAGGTTATAAACGTCTAACTAGGCTTAAATTAATACCTGAGACAAATCAAATCCAAGCTCGGACACCAAACTTACAGAAACACAAAGCGTCATCCGTTTACCTGAACGTAGTGAGAGAAAAGCTGTAGCCTCTTTCTGCCATCGCTGTTTCTATGCGCAGGACGTGACGTCGAATGTTTGATAGAAATGATTGGTTGAGACGGCTTTCGGAGAGGATGTTGGGTAATGAAGTCAAGGCTGCCAGAGTTTTCTTTTGATCACGGGGCAAATATACGTTATTATTCATCTTTCCGTCATGCTGAGATCCAAATGAACTCGTGCTGACATTTTAGTTTCGACTAAATCGCGCACAACCGACTAAGAAATGACTCGCACCCCCAGAACTACAAATCCCAAAAGGTGTTGGCGCATGGAAGTGCGCATGCGCAGTCGCTGCAGCCGAGTGACCGTGAGGATGTTGGAGTGTCTGTGCGAGTGAAGACCGAAGGAACGCCAATATGTCGTTGTCGGGTTTTATACGGTTTCTGAGACACTCACTGCAGCGACTGGAGTCCAGTTTTGCGGGTTTTGACCGGAGTTTGGGTGAGTAGAGAGCCTGTTTTACGAGTGGCTAAGCAAGTTGGAAACAACAGGGAAGGACGGCGAGCCATGCCTGCTGACTAGCGTGCATCGTAGAGGGCAGGAAAATGATCTCTTTCTGTTGTTTAAAGGGTCATTTTCATACATTTTTCTTGCGTTTGCGGTCCACTTATGGCCTTTGTGTTGGCTTATGCGCTAAAACAGTCACAAATATTTTTTTTTACATAATTTCCAGCCTTAAAAACGAGCCAACTTGTTATTTTGCCTTCAAGACTGATACACATTCACAGGCCACTTTACTAGAAACACATGAACACCTGCTCAGTCATTCAGTTATCCAGTCACCCAATCATATAGAAGCAACACTGCATATAATCATGCAGTCAAGAGCTTCAGATAATGTCATCAGAAAACATCAGAAAGGGTGAAATGCGATCTAGGTGACTCTGTTAATGGTGTGATTGTTGGGGAGACTTTTTCAATTTACAGAAACTTTTCCTTTTTTTTCCTGGGATTTTCATTCGTGATAGTCTCTAGACGTTACAGAGAATGGTGAGTAAAACAAAAAACATCCAGTGAAGCGCAGTAACGGGTGGAAACACTCTTGTTAATGAAAGAGGTCAGCGGAGAATTTTAGGTGGATGGGCTACAACAGTGGAAGACCACATTAGGTTCCACTCCTGTCAATCAGGAACAGGACTTTGAGGCTCCAGGGGGCACAGACTCACTGAAACTGGACCGAATGACTGCCCTCTGTCAACAGTTCAAGCTGGGGGTGGTTTAATGATGGGGAATGTTTTCTTAGCAAACGTCAGGCCTCCTAATATCAGTCGAGCATCATTTAAATGACACACCCACAGTGTTGTTGCTGACAATATGCATCCCTTTATAGCCTAAATTGACCAATTGTCTAATGCACGTGTGTCAGGCTTTAGTCCTCGCCAGCCAAAACACTGCAGACTTCAGCACAGTGTCTCATTAAACACGCCTGATTCAGCTCATTGGTTAATTAGCAAGGCCTTCACGAACTGAATCCAGAGCTTTAGGAGACAGTAAATGCTAAGTGAAAATTTTTAAACATTAGCAATGTTTACATCGTGCAACTGAATTTGACTGGAAATTTGGTTTCCCATGATACCTGCCTCTAGAGAACACATTTCCATCGCTTCAGAGTCCAGCAGCAGTGCTTTACACCACTCCAGCCAACACTTGGCATTGCGCATAGAGATCTTAGGCTTTGTGTGCAGGTACTCAGCCATGAAAACCTATTTCAGTACAGGTTTTTAAATGCGCATCAAATCTAAATCTCATGAATGGTGTCTTCAGCTAGGCTCTTCATCTAACTTGTATTGTCATGTACTATAGTGGCACTGCGTTAATATAAATCCTGAAAATAAACTTCATCATGCTTATAAACTCTCAACTTTCCTCTCAAGGTCCAGCTCTGGCAGTGCATGGTCCCAGCCTGCTGCCTCAACCTCAGCACATCGGAGATGATGAGAACTCTGTGCCCAGTTTTCTAGACAGCATTTTCTGGATGGCAGTACCCAAGAAAAGACGCACCATCGAGGTCAATCACTGCAGAAGACGGAACTCAAATAAACTAATCGAAGTTAAGGCAAGTCATCAGTGATTTTTCTTAACACAATTCTGTGTCCGTTGAAATCATCAATGGTATCCTAGAACTGACCGAGCAGTTTATATAATCATAGTTAAGACTGCAAAGGCAGGAGTCCTGTAGAGTCTCTTTCCCATATCACTTCAGTTTTTTTGCTGATAGAATAGCTACATCAGATATATAAACACCTATAAAAACGTCCTGTAGTCTCCCAAAATGCCAGGGCGAGGCCTATCTTGTCAACATTCATGCCCGATCTTTCCTGTCTTTATCATTTTTTTACCGCCTGATTTCTCAGCCTCTACAATGATACATGCCTTCTGTTTGTTTCCAGTTCAAGTGATAAAAAAATTAAAACTTGGATAAATAAAATGCGACCCTTTATTCTTCTTCTGTTTTTTTTGATTTTATGATTAGTTTCTGAAACTGTAAAACGAAGCTATTTCTTGATTTTTTTTTCACAGAACCAAAAACGAGAACTGACCCATTTTCCTGTTTTTCAGTACTGGATTTAAAATTAAAAATCAAATGACCAAAAGATACACAGACCTTAAGCTACCCTCACTACAGGTTATACATGATTAGAAATCTAGCCAGACAGCACCGTATAAGGGAACGTAATGAGAGAGAAGGCTGACCTAGCTTTAGCACAAACTTAGTCCACAGATGGAATCTAGCTTACAACACTTCTATGTATTCAGCTGGAAAAATGATTGGTTAGCTATGATAAACGATTCTAGCGGATTAGTCACTCACCTGTTTGCTCAGCTAAATTAGCCTATCACAGCAAGTTATGCTAGTTATGAAATTTAGACTCATCAGACTCTTGGGCTACGTTCACATTACCAGGTTGAAGTGGTACAAATCTGATGTTTTCAGGGCTGTGTGAACACGCAAATCTGATCTTTTCAAATCTGACCCGAGCCACTTTCATATGTGGTCCTAGATCGGATACATATCCAATTCGTGGCCATGCGACCTTAATATGAACTCTCAGGTCGGAATTCATGTGCTTTTTTTCCACTGCACTATCATTCTGATCAGAGTTAATTATCTTCTCAGTGAAGCTCGTTCTGCTCGTTAGTTTGTGCTGATGATGCAGTGATTCATTCACGTGACGTTACTGAGTAGGATGTGAGCATGAGGGTCATTTCAGGACGCCGGTTCATCACATTAATAACTGATTTGAATCACTTACCTAAACAAGTGTGAACCATCGAGTCAGAGAGATCGGATTTGAGCAGAAAATCGGATTTGAGCAATGAGGCTTGTAATGTGAACGTAGCCTTAGAGCTGATTGGTAACTATCCTGAGGCAGATTTTCAATGTAAAGTGTAACAGTTCACACAGCGTAGGACACCTTTTTTTTCTGGTGACTGTTTTACTGTTGGTCTCACTTTGCATAACTGGGATGGCCAGAAGGATGGCCAATAATAAGGCCAGAGTGGCCCTGGCCACCCCTTGGCTACACCTCTGGCGACCAACCAAATATATGGAATGGGAATGTATGTGTATTGAAAATGTACTGTTATCTTAAACAGCGCACGGCTTCTGCAGGTTTTAGAAATGTCAATAAAGCATTAAAATACAAACTCCACTCTAAAACAAGAACACATAGGTCTTTACTATGTTCAAATTATTTTAAAGTGCAGATCTTTTTAGTATTATTATTATTATTTAGCAGTTGCAGTTAAACAATCCTGAAATCTAAGGGTGCTGGCACACTTTCAGCACCCCCACTTCCTGTGTCCCTATTGGGTGTTAAGATTAATCAGCTGTGTTTAGAACAAGCTCAGGTAAAAAGTGTTTTTGAGGGGCTTAAAAACTGTTCATATAGAATCTAAAACATGGCCACATTCTCGCTGAGCAGACTTCATTAGAAAATATGTGTTTAGGTAATGTGGTTAAAAAGATGCTGCCTCTTCTGCTCTCCTGGTCTGCTGTTCAGATAGTCTCAGCAGCCTGGTCAGGGTTGCCAGGTAGGGCAGGATCCCTAGGAATAGCACTGTATGCCACTTGCTATGATAGCAATTGTTTAACAGTGATGTGTTTACGTTAATGTATAGTACTTCAGGTTCCATTCAAATTTGTTGATTTCAGCGTTCATACAAAATCGAATTATTATTAATAATAATAATAACATTAAATTGGAACTTGAATAGATTTTCACGATACAAGTGTCACAAGTGTTTTCTTTTTTAAACAAGTTGGCATTAAAAAAAGGCTGAAAAACTATACGATCTTTTTTTAATTTAAATAATACAATTATTTATTATTAATACAACTCAACATATGAAAAGTGGTGAAGAAAAAATAAGTAAAAAAATTGTCATAATAGGCTGACATCCAGTCAGTTGCTTGTTCAATTACAGTAATTGTTTGTATACAATTACTGTAAACTTGTTGTTGTATAGAGGCTCTCTATAATTGGTCTACATAATAAATGATATTGTTTTATGATGCATACAGTTGTTTGTGTCCTAGAAGTACTGAAAATGATCATGGTATACTCAGAGAAAGTATACTGTGATGTAATTTGTCACAATATTGACAAAATATTATTACATTGTTTACCTGTACTGGAACCCACCAAAATGTTCTGACAGAATATGTTAACCTTTAATCGCAGTTCATTTAAGGCCTGAATTCCGTTGTGTTTTTCTTTAATGTAGCCTGTAACCTTTTTCTCACTGATTTATTTCACACAGACAAATATTGAGCCTTGTCCAGAGTGCGGTAACCTGAAACAGAAGCATGTTCTGTGTGGGTTCTGCTACGAGAAGGTCCGGAAGGAGACAGCCGTAATACGAAAGCAGATCCAGACCATGGAAGGCCGTCCTCTGAATGCCCCGTCAGTGGAGACTGTGGTTCTGTATGAGAACGAAGCTCCTGGTGATGCAGACAAGAACAAGAGGATCGTAGAACGCAGCAGAAAACGTCCCTCCTGGTTTAACCTGTAACATACTGAAAGCTGATACTGCAGAAATGTG